AAGCCAAGGCTGTTTCTTAGTGTCTCCCACAGTAAGTGCATCTCATTCATCTCCCAGGCTGCCTACCATATAGCACGCAACTGCATTTTTTGAGAGGAATTGCAAAAGATTTCAGAGGAATTGTTAGAAATATCTAGGAATAATACCTCTTTCTTGTATGTGCTAGAATAGTTCCTTAAGGAGGAGAAATGCTGATGTTCTGCTCTCCTGTGTTTTCAAAATGCCTGTAATTTCAGGCTAGCAATCCTTTAGTCAAATGGAAATACTTGGTTAAAATTTGAAATAGAGAAAATGAATAGGGAGGAAGTCACATTTTGCCTTCCTAGCAAGAGAAAATTTTTAACCCAAAAAAAAAAAAAAAAAAAGAAAGAAAACAAATTCACATCTTAGCCAATCAGCCTGCACTACATTATCATCTAAATTACTTCCTTGTCATAAAATTGTAAGCCTTTACAAACTCTCTTTAGCTGATTAAGCCAAAACTTTCTCACAAATGAGCTGGCAGAAGAGAGCAAACGGCAGGTAGACTGCTTACCCAAAGTTTTGGGAACTCATGTTCTGCTGAAGTAATTTACAAAAGTCCTGTTTCCTACAAGTCTTCTCTATCTATATACATACTTACCAGATTACACACAAGGAATAGGAAGCCATTGTATCTTACGTAAATGACTTTTTTTGCATGGAATAGTATTTAATGAGCCAAGGAGAGAGCATGAGAATGACCTGCAAACAGTTACAGTGCTCTCCTAGGACTGGAGAGACACAACTTTCACTTCCCAGTGCAAGGAAGGTTTACTACATAGCAGTTTAACTCTTTACACTCTTCTCAAGTCACTATTTTGAAGAAAGCAATTTCAAAAGCACAGGTGGAAAGAGTCTCATTCCAGAATATTAGCCAGCCTGGTGAAGGAGTCAAGTGTTCTATGAAAGACAACCTCATTTAAAGCAGAGGAGAGAGTTAAACTGAAGTATTCTGCATTTAGGATGAGTGATCTAATTTTACTATAAGCCTATGAGAAGAAAATGACCAGCTTTGTCATCTTTTCCTAATATTTGTACTCCAATGCACCTGGTAGGCACACTCAGAGAATGTATCAGAGAGGTCACTGTAGGCCCCTTTCCTCATTTGCAAATTCTAATGGAATTTCACTTCATATCCTTCAGAAACAGGCAAGTACAATATCTTTGTCACAGAGAAGGAACATGGAGGACAGTCATTCCTTGCGATATACATCCTTCATTAAAGGAGATACCTTCTTACCAGAATGGGATGCCTTTTTAGCTGCTATTCTGAAGAAACGGAGAACTCCTCTCCTCTGAAATGACGAAGGTTGCTCTTTGTGAAAAGACATCCTTTCCTTGACTATGGAATGTATGCCAATAATCTGCATATATCCTAAGTGTGACTTGTAGCATTCTTTGAGGGGTAGAGTTTTAGAGGGGTGGTTTATTTGGCTGGTTATCAAATCAAGTATTTAAAGTTATTAAAATCAAGTTACCCATAATTATTTTCTTCTGGTGCTCTATCACACACGAACCAGGAAGAAAAAAAAAAAGAACATCAGCAGAACATCATAGCCCAGACACTGATCTTCAGCAACACTCTAGGACCAGGAATGGTGAGAAGCAGGACAGATCTGAGGCACCCTTGCAGTAGATAATAGAGCAGCATAGCGGAGCTGCCCTGGGGATCCCCACAAAGGTCCCACCATGTATAAAGCTGAGAATAGCCCAGCTGCTTAGCTATAGCCCAAGGTTTAGCTATGTATTTTTCTGAACTTAATAGCATAATGGCACACTTTTCCCTAATACAATCAGCGCTTTTGCACTTCAGAGGTATTTTCTATTCTATTTCCCTAGTCTTCTGAAGGAAAGACTTCCTGGACTTTCACACATAGCAGGCAAGGTCAGCTCCTTCCTTGACGAAGCAGCATTTTTGCTGAATATACTGCTTATGTATAGCCCTTATATTGGCCAAACCAGGCCTGCACAGGGTTAGGGTTTCGGCGAGGAGGGCGCTCTTTAAGCATGAATTTGGCTTCTGTTTGAATAATTGCCTACCACAAAAGCATGTTCCAAACGGCCTCTGTTCCAAGATGACAAATGACATTTCTGGTCTCACATTGATTGCTTTGTAGGTTCTCTCTCCTCCCCCCAAAGATTTGGTGCTTCTCTTACACTGGTTATTGTTTGGGAAGCATTTGAACTGACCTTTATTTCACCCATGCTTCAGGGATGAGATCATTTAGAAAATGCCATATTAAAGGGGGGGGGGGGGGGGAGGAAGAAAAGAAAAAGAAAAAAAGAAAAAAAAAAAAAAAAAAAGGAGAGACTTCATCCTGTGAACCAGAATGGAGTGACGATAGAGCGAGGATATTTACAGCAGATCAATGAATCTGTCTAATTGCTCTCCTCTAAATGAGCAGATTTACTTTTACAGTAGGAGGCAGACTACTGGTGGATTGTGCCTCCTTCTTTAAGACCAAGAGCTACATGTGTCATTGTGAAAACATGATACAGAATTGATTCTAAAAAATTGCCTTCACATTACTCACCATGAAGCAATTGGAAACAGGCCAGGAGCAGATGGCAACTCAAAAGGCAATCCTTTTCCTCCTCTAGAAGTAGTATTACTTTGTACTTCAGTGATAGCATTGATCTAAGAAACCTGCTGCCTTTTACAAACAGTAACTAATTTCATTTTATAATACGCTTGGAGCGCAGTGAGTATGATTTCTCTGCCATAACACATGGGAAAACTGAGGTACGTGGAAGTTAGGCTTCGGACATTCCTATGGCCACATTTCACTCCCCTTGCCCCTCCCATAAGAGATCACATTCTTCATTTAGAGGAGAAAGAAAATAAAAATCTCTGAAGTCTAAGCAGTCTTCCCCAGACTTGGCACGAAGGCATCAAGCACGTGAAATTAAGGTGAAAACTGGTACCCAAAAGGGATTTCCTTAAGTCACTGCTGCAGTGTCTAGGGACACCCATGAGCCTGTATCTGCAAGTACTCCTGCAATTTTTCATCTGAAAAAAAAACAACTCTTAGACAAAAAGTTAAGCAACTGGTTTAACTAAAAACTGAGATTCTGAAAGCAGAGACCAGCTGTACTTTATATGCTGCAGCACACCAGGGAAACAGGAGCACACAGAGAGTTGCAACTATCCACAAACACACATTCAGTATTCTCTCCTAAGAAGGGCCAAGGAAAATCTTCTGTAAAAAAAATGGACATTTTTACAATAGACAAAGTAGAGAGATTATCCTTTTTGTTACATCAGTATAATAACAAATACAGTCATGATATGGAAGCATGAAGAATTTCACCCCAAATATTGGAGGATTGTATTAATAAACTAATTAGTGGGAAAAAGCTTGCATACTTCTCAGACCTTATCCTATATGCAGTAAAGTAAAAAGCAAAACCCTTGAGTACAAATAGTGTTGGGCACACAGGAAATGTTCTATTGCAAATGACAGCTCATATCTACAACATGAGAACTTAACCCGGTACAAACTATTCATAGTAGCGAAGCTATAGAACCCATGTTAGCAATATCTCCAGGGCTTCCAGGTGCACATTAGGTCAAATACAGTGCTTGCTTTGCAAATCTCACATTACTACCTAGGTGGATTAGGGAACTTAGACATGCTTTGAGAAAGAGATTCAGCAACCAAAGATTTTATTATTAATAATTGAAGACTCATTTCTCAAATCTTTGAAAGCTGATTCTTCCAAAGTGGAAATCTTTTTGTAATAACCTTCACCATGCATGCTGGACCAATAGCAAGCCATGTAGGAGTCTCTGGTGAGGCACATCTCTTTTCAATTGACATTTCTGAAAAAAATCAGGTACACAGAGTTATTTTGGTTAAGGGAAAAAAAATGTTTTGCTCTTTGGAATTAACCTGTGTGTGCTTCAGTGGCTGACATTCATATGCTGGCACACTACTTTCCATGAAAGGGAACAGTATTATGTATTAGAATGCAGTGCTGATCCCAGTGAGTTTATAGCACAAAGCACAAGTCCAACTTTTCTGACGAAAGGATACTTTTGGTACCCTTAAGTCTTTGGGGTTTTTTTTTTGTTGTTGTTGTTGTTTGCTTGTTTCTGTTTACTTAAAAGCTTTAAAACCTTCCTCTAGAGTGGAGTTTAACATGTTAAAGGTAATGTAAAGAATGGAAAAGGGAACCTTACCATCATCACGTGTGGACTGACCAAGTGACCACAAAAATACAAGCATTCCTCTAAGACAGTAGGACTTTACCTAAATGTAACCTTGCATACAGTTAGAAGCTGCCTATGGAACATGGCCCTCATCGTAAGAATATGCGGGCACCTAGTATTGTGATAAGCATACATGACTTTATACCTTCAATATCATATCATAGGCATTCCTGCTGCATAGCCAGGCATGGATATCTCCGAGGAACACCAATACCATATAACATGGAAGAGCTGAAGGGCATGGAGGAAAGGGAACAATGTGAAGAAGGCCACGTGATGGATAAACTAGTAAAATACTTGGTAGAGCCAATGCAATACAGGCTGGGCATCCATGCTCTATAGGTGGATTGAAGACATAACATTTTTATGTCACATCACAGGAAAGCAAGGAACACATTTAAAGAATAGATTGCTGCTATAGAACTGGAAGTGCAAGACACAGCTAAGCCTATTCTTTGACAGAAACATAACTTTGGTCTGTTAACAGCGTTCATTTACTCAGACATTCTTCCAGGCTACCATATGCTACATCAACATATCCAGATTTACTTATACATAGGGAGCAACAATTGTCTTCCCTGACTAGACAAATCCCAACCTCCCTTTCCTCTTCAAAAGTAGAAAGAGCAAAGAACAGCACAATCCCTTCCATCCCATCATTGCTATTACAATAGTCCCTAGCAGAATCACACAGCAGAAAGCTGCCATGCTAGTTAAACAGTAGAAGCATTTCATTAGTTGATGGAATTATTAGCCAATCTCTTACCTTATTAGTTGCAACCCCTACCCAAACAATTGTGCCCTTGAACACGATCCCAAGAAAGCACAGAGCAAGCTGTCCTCACTCTCCCCAATAGGAGACATAGGCTTCACCACCCATGTAAGCACAACATTTTGCATTTAACATCCTTGTACATGTGCTAGCACAGTTATATCTATGCAAATTTCCACCAGTCTGTGTGAATTGAGTCCTGGAAGGCTGTTCATAACAGCAGGGCAAACTGGGACCACCTGGGTAATCAGGCCACTAATCCCATAACCCCAGGGAATCACAGCCCACAGGTGGACTGAACATTCAAGGACTACTGCCATCTACCTGAGTCTGAAGAAATTCTTCTGCTTAGTGTACAATCCCTTTCTTGAGCTTTTCAAGCTAAATGGTAATTTATGTTACTTCTCCCTCCAATTCTTCCAGTTTAGAAAACTCTATCAGTTACACTGAATACACTACACTTACAAGTAGTCTGAAGCAATCTTTTAATTTCCAGCCTAAATATATTCACGGCCAATCTTATTTCCTTTCTGCCACCATTTGTCTGTCTGGTCTATTCATGACTCAGTCTTTATTTATGACTCACCAGTGTGAAAGGTAAGATTTGTGGCTTAGCGAGTGGCCTAATTGCCCATGCAATGATTATATTAGAAATGCTCAAAGGGAAACATGTGAGCGTCCTTCTTCAAGTCCAATTAAGGAAATGTGTTTACATCTAAACAACTCTAAATAAAAATTTAAAAATCCATTTGACCTGGAATTTCCTTGATAAATATTTATGCTATGTTTGCTAATTGCTGTTACAATTTTCTCTCTGATCCTCTTGTTCAACATGTGTATGAGGAACAAGACAAGGCAGTGCTGATTATACGATTATGTTGCCTTTCTCTGTTTCGTTAGCCTCCAGTTGTGGGAGCTTTCCTAGCGTCTGTCCCAGACTGCGGTTCGGATGAGCATGACAGAGCTGAGGTTATGTGGGTGAGTTGGCAGAACAGCTGGAACAAATGGCAAGAGTTATCTTTGCTTCCCCGTCCGAGGCAGTATGTGCCGCCTTTGGTTAGTTAGCTCTGCTCCATAAAGGTCTAGCTGGAATTTCAGCTGCTTCTGAATGTTCAGATAACAACAGTGGACAGTAGATTAAAAAAAAAAAAAAACCCTATTTTAATTTTAAAATGCTTATATGTCAATCCTTTAGTGCACAAAGCATTTTAGTGTCAACCTTTTCAAGAGCGAAAAAAAAAAAAAAAAAGGTCATAGGCTGTATGGAAAAGGCCATTTTAGCACTAATTTTTTCATTATTTTTTCAGGACAACCTAGATGCCCCAGTGACAGGTGAGATCTTCGTTGTCCTGTACCATAGAAATGCAGAACAAAAGGCTGGTTCTTGCCCCAGAGCAACTTACATTTGGCACAAAACTAGCAAACATCGCTATCTTGTTTCATGGCAGACCATCCCATCCCAGTCCCAGATTTTTCTGTTCTCTGTCTGCTTCTTGAACAGGACTAGACTCTTATTCCGAATTACATCTGCTGCATGAAATAAATGCACCTGATGAAGTTAGGCCAGTTGACACCATCAGGAAATCTGGCCTTCAGACTCTGTCAGCGCCAGTTAGTACCACTCTCCTGTTTCTGGCTTTTTCCTTAGCCCCAAGAGATTATTATGGCTCAGCGCAATGTCGAGCCAAGATAGACTGAACTCTGCTTCCTGTATCCAGCCTCCTCCACCAGCTCATTAACACCAGCAGGATCGTCAGGTGTGGGAGGGGAGTAGATCTGGCCCTTTAGAGGTGGTTCCATTTATAAATATTGACTTTAATCTTAATTTCATGTAGTTGCTTGTAAAAGTCTTTTAGGCTGAAGCAGAAGGCATGCTGCAGATGGCAAGGATATTTTTCACAGTTTTTATGGTGGATAACAATATACTTGACATTTTGCTCATTAAATGTGAGCCCTGGTATGTGAGTAAACATGCTAGGCATCTGTGCTCTAAAATTACCAATGTGAAAAGCAACAACTCAAATGTTTCAGTCAATAAATGTACAGCACAGAAGCAACATTCAGCAACTTTCTGAATGCTGTGTGCAAAGCATGGGCTGAAATTGCTGTATTACATGGAATACTCTAGAACCAACAAGGAAGAAATAACATATTTCTTTCAAATCTGTATTTTGGAGGGAAATGACTAACTCCAAAAATCTCTGTAAACAAGCCTATTTTAAGTGGTAGACCATACTCATCAATTTATGTTTCCAGAGGGAATCAACATGTTCATCGTCTATTCACAAAACTATAACAGAAAGGAAGGTGACCAAAATTAGCTAAGAAAATGGAAAAGATGATATGCAGAGGTAAAGACAGATTGCTATGTGAAATAGCAGAACATGATAAGAAGGAGCAGAAGTAATGCAATGCCCTCTAAGCAGATGTGATGAGCAACCCACCGAAAAGAGATCAAAGAGAACGGATTGCACAGAAATTGGAAAAAATGACTGTTTCTTCTCCTTTCTACTAAAGTAATTTTCCATTTCCAATGTTCTGTTTCTTGGCACATTCTCTGGGAGATGAAAGAAAGAAAAAAAAAAAAGATTAAAACTCAAATGGAAAAGAAAAGGCCAAAGGGGATAAGATAGCTGTAGTACCTTGAGATGGCTAAAATTCTGACCATCAAGAAATAAATGACTAATAGAGGGGAAAAGATAGTTATCATATTTTTAGCTTTGGACATGTTGCAACATGCACAAATTCAAGCTCCTGTATAAATGAGTAGCATGGAGGCAAAGATACTAAATTTCAAATTTAAAAGGACAGCTAGAGTGAAATAAGAAAAATATTCATGTCTCGTGGCTTCATTAATGAATTTAGTATGAGTTTTGGCACATTTCTTCCAGAGGAGATAAACAACTTATTACCTAGTTTTGTATTGGAAATGGCTGTGAAGAAAGTGAGACTTGCCACACAAAATTGTGATGTGTTTTAAAGAGACTTGGAGGATTCAGGGAACATACCCTCCATTTCTCAAGTAGTATTAGGTAATGCAACTTATCCTTTTCTCTTTTTTCCACTACTTCATCTTCCCTCTTCTGTCACAATTAAATTTTCCCCAATGTAAAATTCTCATTTTATTAGACAGCTACTATCTAAATCATACATCTTTTCTCTTTATCCCCCCAAATAAAACTCCTTGCAATATTTTCTTACCTTCAGTAAGGTAGCACTTTGGTTCATCACATCATGATTTTAAAGACACATATAAATCAAAAAGACTTAAAAAGTCAAGCTGAAATGTGAGTTCTGGTGTAAACTTGACTATAATAAACTTAACCATAGTAGAGAGTTATCTGCCCATGGAAATGGTAGATAAATTCCTGCTAATATAAGTGAGAATGAGATCAGATCTATAATTGACCAAACTAAAGAGATTAGTTGAATTTTACTCAAAAAAGTAAGTAGCCCTCCAAAAACGGTTATCCAGTCTAGGAAATCTGCATGCTTAAATCACTTTCTTTCTTTTTTTTTTTTTTTTTTTTTTTTTTATATACTTAAAAAGTAATAAGAACTTCAATAAAAATGAGAGCAAACAAAAAAGTTGAAAGTCTCTTTTTTTTTTACAGAATAGTCTAAGTAGGTAGCAGGCTCACATTTTGTCCAACACAATGCTCACATCACACTCAGCAGGGTCCTACGAGTTTGCTTAATAATAAATTACTCTTCAGAAAATCTTTTTCGTCTTTGAGATTTTTTTCCCTAAAATATCTTTAACTTATTTGTCTTAATGACTTCTTTTTCAGAGTTAAATTGCAATGCTTTCATATGCCATATCAAAGCTAATGAGTCTAACTAGCACACTGTCATTAAAAGAGTCCAAAAATTACAGTGATGGCTAGATATATAATAATAATACAGGTATACTGAATGCATCAAATACATAGTCAGGTTGATCAGATCAGATATTTTCTGAAAGATCAGAATCAGATTTGGTGGGGCAATGGTCACCATTCCAGGTATACAAAGCCCTAGAACCTGACGCAATTTTCTTAAAAAGGCGATGTGATAAGGAGTTAGTAATAAACAGAAAAAAAAAAAAGCAGGATGAAGAGATCAAACAGATAGTTAAAGAAAATACCTGATATACACCTAAGACCCATTAAATAAAGATATTGATTTGCTAAGATACGAATAAGACACTTTGCTATGAATCTGAATCTGAAGTTTCTTCATGCTGTATGCAAAGCACTAACTTGGCTGGACTTTGAAACTCCCTGAGGATCCTCATTGAAGTGAATCATATGTAATGTATCAGAAATAAAAAATAAATAGATAAATAAAACAGTTTTCCTTCCTTGCTCCCTCTTCCCATTAGCTTTAGAAACCACCAGGGACGTCCCCAAAACTCTACGGCAACATCTCATAGTGCAGGTATCACACAACCTTTGCTGATTCAAAACATTAGTATGGGCATCAGTATGGATTCAATTTTGTGTTATGTATCCTGAATCAGGGAGCTGAAGCAAGAAACAACTTGGGATGCATAAGAAATACATCATTAGTAAATACTGCTATTAGTAAATAGACCATTGCTGCTCCAAAAAGTAATCCATGTGCCTGGAGTACCTCTGGAAAACTAGGAAGCGTTATATGGCCAATCGCTGAAGAATCATTTGATGTGAGGGTGGGAGGTTCTGATGTTCTAAAAGTTGAAATACTTCCCATTTTCCTATAAATGTTTATAATCAGTTTGTTATGATGGATGATCTGTTCTACTGCTAGATACTCCCAGGCCATAAATGCTGTTCAGTGGGAAATTAATAAGTCAACATGTTTAATATTAATATATTCCTCAACTGACACCAGGGCATTCAAAGCATAGGTATTTAATCTGACAGATCACTGTGAGATAGTTCCTATTATTACTAACAAGTAGATTTGACATTATGACATATATTCTATAATTTAGAAGAAATTGTGAAGAGTAAGCTGTGGCATCTACTTTATAGTTGTTGAAAAGAAAGCCTGGATACTTGTAAGAGAGAACTCCAAAGGTTTTGCTAA